GCGGCGGGCAGCGGGAACCGGGGCAGGGCCAGCCCCGAGGCCGCGGTGAGTGACGGGACTGGGCTGGGGGCTTCGAGCTCGCGGGGGTGATGGCAGCGCCCGGGACGGGGACTGGCGCTCGGAGGTCGGGATGCGATCCCGCGGTCCGCCCCGCTCCCCTGTGCCCTCCTCTGGGCTCAGAGCCAGCGTTCCCTCAGGGCCGGTGTAGAACTCCCCCAAAGTTACTGTTCGTCCTGGTTTGGGCTCGCTGAACACCGATCCAGGTGTGAATATCCCAGCGCCGTCGCCCGCCCAGGTCTGTGCTCCCCTCGCGATGCGCTGGGCTATTTATAGCGCTGACAGGAGGAATTAAGGGCTTTGCCGTAATGTGTCCGTGATTGTCCTGACCTCCAGGGATGGGTGGCACAGCTGGGAGTCTCGAAGAATGGCTGGGCCCTGGGGACCCCCAAAGCCGAGCAGCTTCACTGGGGTGAAGCTGCGGTCACAGAGCGGCCGTGTGCTGGCCCTCAGGAATGATTCCTTCACGATGTCATGCATGGTTTGGACAAATACAAAATGCAAAACCTGATTAGCTTTTTGGTTTGGATCATTCCAGAGCACTATTCCAAATAACAAATAATTAATCAATTAATAAATGGGAGAGCAGTGCCAGGGCGATGTGCTCTGCTGTCCCAGATTCTGTCCATAGAGCTATCCTGCACATCCCTGTGGACTCTGCCCTTTCCTTGGGATCTGGGCTCCCTGTGCTGGCTCTGCCAGAGCCCTCTGGGGTGGTACACAGACCTTAGCATGGAGGAGACATGCCAGTTTCACTGGCATCTTGATTTGTTGCTAGTCAGTAGAATATGCTATAAGGAAACCAGGTTTCTGGGCTTATCTGGGTAGGTAATAATTCTTTATCTAGGTTTGTGAAGTGCTTTTGAGACAAAGTCTGTGTGAGGAACTGGTACTTATTATTGCACCACTTGAGTGCAATGACTTCCTCCACCTTGGGAAGGTCAGGCTGGTTTGCCTTCCCTTCCCAACCACTCCCTCCCAGTCTGTTCTGCTGGGTGGAGAAGAAACTTTTAACTGTGTCTGAGGTTCTCTGCTTTCCATTTTGACTCCAGACTAACCACCAGAGCTTCATCTAAGGGAACTATTAAGCAGACTATCCTATCATCAAGAGTGTAAATCCGGAAAAGCCTGAAAAAAATCCTGTTTGTTGAATAGACAGCAGATTGAAATCTCTGCCCTGGGAAGAAACAAGCAGCTTTCTGCTTGCTGAGGATCTTTCCATTACCGGGTGATGTTCTGTAACTGTCCAGAGCTTGCAGGCAGGGTTAGAGCCTCAGCCCTTGCTGCTAGCATCCCACGCTGCAGGGCTGTATTTTGGCAAGAGGCCTGAGTTTCAGGTTCATTCAGCAGTTTAGAAAATAGTACAACTCAGTTATTCCATCTCTTTTAGCTTGTGATCTTGCCCAGTGCGCCCCTCCACAGATGGTGTCCCAAGGTGCAGTTGAACAGGTGGATGTTCTCAGCTGGCTGCAAGGGACTTAGGCAGTGTCATGGCAGGATATAGCTCCATCCTTGCTGCGGAGATGTGTGGTGGGTGCTGGGAACTGACTGTGGCTCCAGGAAGACCTGTCTCCACTAAGGGTATATCATTTGGGTGTGAGGCTGCTCTGAGCCTCCAGCTGCATGTGGTGGCTTCTGTAAGACCCCAACCAAATGCAGTGAGAAGATGTGTCAGTGCTCATAAGCTGCAATGAGTCAGAGGAAATGTTCCCTCTCTGTGTTTTGTGGGAAGAGGGTGCTCTCACAGGGTGTCTGCCCAGCTCTGCTTTACGGTCTGAGGAGCATCTACACATGTCAGAGGTGATTTGGATGTGACTCATGGCAAAATGGCAGAGGTTGGGGCCAGGTGGTTCTCCTGGAACCTCCAGGGGTGCAGGGAGCCAGTGGGACAACAGTTCTGTCCCCTCTCTCACACTAGCCACTGCTAGCGTGTGGGCTGAAGTGCTTCTGAGGTCCCTGCTTAAGTCAGCTTCCAGCTTCTCCTCAGCCCAGCAGTGCTGGTGCAGAGTGCAAGCTTCTGCTTGGCACCCCATGGTCCCTGGGAGCCAACAGTGCCAACACTGGACACAAGGATGATGAGGTGGATATTGGAGAAGTCACAGGGCAGGGAAGTCACCATAATGACACCCTTCTTCTGGTGTCTTGTCACAGCAGTGTCTGAGCGCATTGTTCTTGGGGTTCTTAAGCTCAGTAGTACCCCTGTGAGCTGGGACCTGGAGAAGTCAAAGCACAGAGAAGAAAGCCCTGGAAGTGTGTTGTGGCCTGGGGCACTGGCTTCTCCCCAGCACAGTGCTTTCCCTTGCTCCAGGGGTGGCTTGGCCCTAGCCTCTGGAGAGTTGTTTGCACTAGCAGGAGGGAGAGGATGATTTGTAGGGGCTTGTCTGGGCCATTGCCAAGGATAGTTGTGGAGAAGTATAAAACAACCATGAGGTGTCTGCTTGTCCTGGGCAGAGAGGGTCCCAGAGGGAGGAAGGAGCTTCTCCATTATCTCATGGCGGGATCTCTTCTACCTCTAGTGAGCTTATCCTGTTCCTTCCCTAAGAAGAACTCTCCTAGCGCATTAGCAGGGGTGCTGTTTTAGCCACTACCTTGTCAGCTCAGGTGTGCAGAGATCAGCTGGTTGACCAAGAGCTCCTGCTTATCACAGGTGCAGCTCAGCTCAACCCATCACTTCTAGGTTATTGCAGCAAAAAGTTTTCCAACACGCTTGTCCCACAGCTCCGACCAGAAGTGCTCCTGGCATTGCCTTGGGATTCTGACTGTTAGGAGTATCATTGGTTTTGGGGCTGTTCCTCAGCTTTTCAAGCAGGATATACTACAGGTCTGCCAGGACAACACGTGTGGTGACACCAGTCCTGCTGGGTTCCTCCCAGGTAGATTTTGGTACATGAAACCAAAGGGAGTTGGCAAAGCAGATGGATGGGTGATATCAAAGACTGTGTTTGCTGATGTGCTAGAGACCTGTCTGTGCCAGAGTATTTGTTGGGAAGTGGAGTGAGATACTGTAATGGACTAGAAGGAGGACTTTTCCCATGGCATAGTGGCTTCTTTCCCCAGTGATACAAAGTGACAAACTGAGGTGTAGCATTGCCTGCTGCCAGCTGAGCCTGTCTCCTATCCCTGGACCAGTGTGACTGTGGCAGCGCAGGCAGCCCTGGTATAGGACTCCCACACCTTGTACCTTCAAGATGAAGGGTGGCTCCTGTGGCCGTGCCTGCCCTCTCCTGCCTCATATCCTTCCTCCGTCATGTTCATGTGCTCAGCTGAGGAAACTTGTGGAGCAGAGGGAAGAAACATGCCAGCCCATGTGGTGCCACACACCCTGTACTGGCATTCACAGCCATTCATGTGCCTGCAGCAGGGAATGTGCCAGACCTGTGCCAGGCAGCTCTGGTAGAAGGATGTGCGAGGGATGGGAGTGCCTGGCAGACACATGGGGAACTGTCCTGGGAAGAGGGCGTTTTCCCCAGCTGCCTGCCATCACTTGCCAGCTCCCTGCTGCTTTTCTTGAAAAGCCGGGTTAGGAAAGGAACTCTTGAGGAAGCCTCAAGTGTGCAGGGAGCAGGCGAGCTGTAGGACTGAGGGGGTGGCACGAGACAGGGTGTGCTGGGCACTTGGCTGGGGTCTGAGGCAGGATGGGAGGAGAAACAGGCTGCTGCCCAGACTTGCCTGGGGATGTGCTGGCTGCACCCTTGGCTGCCCTGATGCTGTGATTTGGGACAGTGGGGTGTCAGGGTGCTGCTCTACCAGCTCGGCTAGCAGTGGATCAGAGCTGGCTCAGCTGTGACTGCAGGGCTGGGTTTCTGGTGAGGGCAGGCAGTGTGGGGCTTGTACAGACTTCACTGCAAGTGCCCAGGGAATTCATGCCCTGGCTGACAGGCAGGAGGTGCCTGATCCAGCCTGGAACCTTCCAGTATGAACTTAATCTTCAAAAATAGGTTATCCATGGATTTACATCAGCGCTATGTGTTTGTAGTAGATTAGTCTTTTCCAGGATAGGATGGTTGGGTTTTAATAAAATTTTAGAAAATCTACAGCTTGATTTACTTTATGGTTACATCATAGACATAGTGTCTGGGCTGGATATCCACATGGCCGAGTCCATCACCAAGCAGGAGCTGCCTTCCGGAGAAGTTGGCTTCCTGGCACAGCTGGTGCCACCTGAGTGGAAGCCGGGTGTCCCATGAAGACACGTGAAGGCAGTCAATATCACTAATGGTTTTGTTGCCCCAGCTGGGACTGGACCAGCTTTTCCTGGAAACTGCTTGCTTTCTACAGAAGATGACATTGAGGTCTCTTGCTGGCCTGGCACAGCTGAGTCAATCATTCCTGACACCTGGACAAAAACAGAAGTAGGCTGGTGGTTTGCTCAGTCTCTCCCTGTTTGCAAGACCACCCTGCAGATCATCTCACAGAAGTGGCTGTGGGGAGGATTTTGCTGAAAGCAGCTTGTAGCCTCATGCTTTCATCTGTTCCAGGTGATGATGCAAAGTCTGCTGGGAAGTTCCAGGGAGACAGTGGCCACCCAGAGGCTGGGGACAGTCGGAGGCATCAGAGAGGCCGTGCAGAACACCGGAGACACACCATCACCAATGGTGTGGACTTCAGCATGGTAAGGGAGAGTTGTGGGCTCCCATGAGGGGGAAGGTAGATTGCAGGGTTCTCTCACTGATGACTTCATCTCTGGGCTTTGGCTTCTTCTCTGCCAACCCTGCACATGTGAGCTGTGAGTTGTCAAGCAAATCCTGATATTTTGGATATGAAGGTCTGTTGATGTATGTGGATGTTTTGCCATTATTTCCAAAGTGCTTTCTTTCCTGAATCGTGCCAGACAGGGAGGAGGTGGATGCCTTCCCCCAGAGTGGGGTCAGGCCACAAAGCCAGTGTACTGGCTGCTTTCCCAATGGGCAAGGTCTTGGGAAGAGGAAGACAAAGGTGGAGGTGTGGGAACAGATGTATCTCTGGGTCTTAAGAGCACACCAGTGAGGGTCAGGTATGCTTTGTGCTGGCAAGCAGTGGGGCAAGGCTATGTCCCCTCCCAGATGTTCCATGCAGATCAGGGCTCAAACATGCAGGTCCTCTCAGCTTCTGACAGACTTTTTGCTAGCAAAGCAGAGAAATCCACATTGAATTTATTCAGGCAGCCCAGGATGGAGGGGTCTGTTCGGTGCTCACCAAAATCCAAGTATGTTTGTTCTGGGGCTGACACACCCCAAAGGGAGCAGGGGGGCAGCTGTAGGCATGCTCCTGCTGCATTCCTAGGTAAATAGGTGAAGAAACCTGCACCTGCAATGCTGAGCAGGAGGGTAGAGGTAACCCAAGTGTCTTTCACACAGTTTGGTTGTTCTCCAAACTGGAGAACTTTTCTTCCAAAAGTCTTTCTCCAAAGCAGCATCAGGCAGCAGTCGTTATCCTGCCCCTCTGTAGCCTTTCGTGGGGAAAGGGGCTGAGACCCTTGCCTGTATCCACATCCCCCCACACCTCATGAAGAAACCTACTCCTGGGACTTGACAGAGCCTTGGTGGGGAGTGGGTGACATCTCTGTGCTCTGTCTTGCAGCTGAAGTACATGAAGGAGCTGGAACAGGAGAAGGATGTCCTGTTGCAGGGCCTGGAGCTTATAGACCGGGCTCGAGCGTGGTACTGCCAGCACATCCAGCTCATGCAGGAGCACCAGCGGCTCCTGGGGAAGAAGAGGACCAGTGCTGTGAGTCTGGGCCTTCTTCTGGCTGCGTGTGGGTTTGGAGAACAGGGCTGGAAGATAGCTGGACCTGGAGCTGACCCCATGGTAACCTCTAGCCTCTTCTAACCCATCCTGCAGGATTTTGCTGAGGGTGGCCAGAGTCACCTGGGGCGCCTGGTGCCCAAGCTTCAGGAGGTGAACCGCTGCCTGGGTGACCTTCTTTCCACTGCTGGCAAGGTGAGAACAGCATATCAGTAGCTTCAGGTTGTTTGTGTGATCTTAGGATTCATCCTGTCCCACCCATGTTGGTGGCTGGGCTGACATTGGAGCTGCCAGAGTTTCCCCCAGCTCTGGGAAGGCAATGGAGGACAGCCAAGAGGACAGCACAGCTGGTCCTGATGTGGGCTGGAGGATGCATAAGGCATTTGGGGGGCTAAAGGAGATGCCCAAAAAGGTACAGCCATTGTCAAGGGAATAAGGAGCCTAACCTCATGAGGCGCTGAGTCAGCCACTTCAGAGCTGACTGTCATGCTGGGCAGGAGACAGGCACACTGGCAGGAATGCTTCCCCATTCTGCCTGGTGGGCTGGAAACACTGTGATGGCCTGTGCTGGGATTTTAATCATCTGCTGGGCTTCTTTGAGTTCTTTGTGTGCCACAGAAACATCTCACCTTGAAGAAGGGCTCGGTAGGGCCACAAGATAAGAGGCCCAGTGTCTCATTCCCTTCATGTGGAGGCAGGTCAGCCTGTCAAGGCTTTCCCTTGGAGGAATGTACCCTGACGGAGCTGTGATAAGCTTATCTCAACCCTCTCCTAGAGAGGGTCCTTTAGATGGGACCATCTTCTCTCGTCATGGTGAGCTATCCCACCATACTTCAGTGACTATGCTGATCCTTTGTAACCCATTGGTTTTCCCCCTGGTACCACCTTGGCTTTCCCCCATAAAAACCCCAGCTTCTGCCCAGTTCAGTAGGGAGCTGATGTCCCTGGCTACCCTTCACAGTGCTGCTGGACAATAAAACTGTCTCTGTGGAATCACCATACGATGCTCCTGTCTCTCTGTCTCTGAGTTGGCCCGGGATAGCCTCGCAAGCAGAGCTGAAATCACTGAGCTGAAATCACTTGCAGCCACAGGCTACCCCTTGCTAAGGTTACCCAGTGGCCAGGGATTGCCAGAGACCCCCGAAGGCCATCTCTTGTGGGACAGCTCTCTCTGGGAAAGTTGTGGCATCCTGGGTCCGACCAATGGACACGGCCTGGCCACCACACCTTCATCTTCTCTATAGGCAGCAAACCCCTCCTCAGCCCTGAGCAGGCTGGTGCCTGTAACATCCCCAGCCTCCACAGGCTCCCAGCAAGCCATCAACATGCTGAAGGAGCAGAATCGGCTTCTCACTAAGGTGAGTGGAGGTAGGGGTGGAGGAGATGCCCTTGGGCGTGCTGGGAAAGGAAGGGGATGGGATGGGGCCAGGGAAGGAATGATAGGCAGTGGGAAGTGTTCCTTCAGCTTGACCAGACTTGGTCATCCCAGAGAAGGGTGTATGGGGCTGCACATGGAGACCTTCTGGCATAGAGCTGTGCCCAGCTGTCTCCAGCTGTTTGCTGGGTGAGTCAGTGGTAGGGATGAGGCATTCCTGGCAGAGGAACAGGCTGTGACAAAGGTCACAAGAGGTCACAAGAGAGGGCAGAGACTGAAGCTGGGGGCTGTCAGGGGAGTGATGGTCTGCCAGGGCCAGGCTCACTGCTGGGGTTTCTGTCATAGCATATGGCCACATAAATTCTTTGGGGGCTTGAGTCCCTCTGCTCTGGAGCCAGGCTGGGACAGCCTGGGGGTCACCTGGAGAAGAGAAGGCTCTGGAGAGACCTTAGAGCCCCTTCCAGGGGGCTGTTCCTTGGGACAAGGGCCTGGAGGGACAGAACAAGGGGGAATGGCTTCCCACTGCCAGAGGGCAGGGTTAGATGGAATACTGGGAAGAAATTGTTCCCTGAGAGGGTGGTGAGGCCCTGGCACAGGGTGCCTAGAGAAGCTGCCCCATCCCTGGAAGTGTTCAAGAACAGGTTGGACAGGTCTTGGAGCAACTGGCTCTAGTGGAAGCTGTTCCTGCCCATGGTTAGGGGCTGGGATGAGATGGGCTTTTTTAATGTCCTCCTACCCAAGCCCATGATTCTGTGGTTCTATGAAATTTTATCTGCCACACACCAGTTGCCAGCATTTTCCTCCTCTAACCAGCATTTTCCTCCCATCTTGTGCAGGAGGTGACTGACAAGAGTGAGCGCATCACCCAGTTGGAGCAGGAGAAATCTGCCCTGATCAAGCAGCTCTTTGAGGCTCATGCCAACAACAACCATGAGATGAGCCAGCTGGACTCCACCTTCATCTAGCACATGCCTCCCCCACCCCATCCCCAAACTTCCTCGGGGTTTTCAAGGGACCCTTGCTCCAAACTAATCGTACCCACTGCTCCAGGTGTTGTGTCTCAAGATCTGGGGCTGCTGGTGGCATCTCTGTGGGAGGAAGCCGGGAGCCCTCTTGGGGAGCATCCCTGCCCTGCTGATGGTTTATCAGCCATGCTGTTCTCAAGCTGCTCCTTTCCTGTCTCTAAATGGGTTGCAGGGACACTGTCCCCAGCCCCGTGACCCCCAGTATGTGGGAGACATGGCTGCTGTCTGTGCTGCCCGTGTGGGGTGAGCTGCTGTGCCCTTGCTGACTTAGGCTGGATTTTGGGGGCTCATGGGAAAAAGTGATGCATCTTCAACACTCCAGCCAGCATCTCCAGACAAGCCTGACCCTTAGAGGCTCATGCTTGTCCTGCCGTTGGAAGACTAAGATTAGAAATCCAAGGAGGCATGCCTGGCCCCTCTCTGCTGCCCATGTTCTGCCATGTCCTGGCCCTGTAGTGCCCAAACTGGTGGTCCTCATGGCAGCCCCTCTGTCGTGTTTGTGGTAGTGATACCATAGTTGCTGTTTACATGTCTGCAGGCTCCTGTAGGGAATGAGCCATAGACCTAAGCAAGATAGCCTCTACCTCTGAGCTGCTGTTTTGGGCTGTTGACAAGTTGAGACAGACACCGCGCCCTTTACTTGGCTTGACCTGGCAAATACTTCCTGATACCTGCCAGGATTACATTCTTTTCATGACTGTCAGAGAAATGATCTTCTGTAGCCTGGGGATGCTCACATCAGCCTGACCTCGCGGGGGGGCTTTAGAACTTGGTTTTGTATTTAACTGAGTGTGAGACAGAGCAGAGGCTACCAGGCTCTTCCCTGTGCACATCTCCACATGGAGAAATGGCAGCTCTGCTTCACGTGGTTGTGGAGGCTACTGCCAGGGGTGACATCCTGACTGTGAGCTGCACTCTTCTGCAGGTGTCTTGAGGGGTGGTGGTGGTCTAAGATGAGTCCTGGCGCATCTCAGGACTCCTCCTGCTTCCCATCACGATGGGATTCCCACCTCAGTGATGATGCTAGAGCTGAATGACATTCGACTGTGGCTTGCTACTTGGTATCCATGGTACTTTCACTGGAGATCCCATGTAGCACAGCCTGGCCCACTGTACCCCCAGGGCCAAGGCCTTTCTCTCTGGGGTTGTTTCGTGCTCCAATTCTCCAGGTATGATGCTGTGGCACTGAACTGAGCTGGGCAGAAGGTGCTGGCTCTGCCCTGAGCTGACACATGCAGGCCAAATCTCTTCTCACTTTTGTTCTTATCTGTCAGGACTCTCTCCCATGCAGCAGTTCTCTTCGAGGTTGATCCTGAGCTAAAGCTCACTGCAATGTATGAATCCCTGCTCTGCCCTTGTGCCTGCAGCTGGAGTAGGGATCAGTAGAATGCCAGGGGGATGGTGGAGGAGGAGCAGCAGGGCCATGGCTAGTCATGTCCCCTGTCCGCAAGAGTCGGGTGTTAGTTGTTCCCTGGGCATCAGTGTCTGCTATCCTTTTTGTGGTGTCTTCTCTGGTGTCCAGTGCCTGTTTTGCCTAAGGTTTAATTAGAACTGACCCTTTTTATGAGGGTTACCTGTCTGTAGGGCTAATAAAGTGGGGTGACCTATTTAATTTATCCTTCTGTCTCTCTCCCTAAATCAGCCCATCTCCTGCTGCCAGCCCTGAAGTCCCTGACTGTCCTGTCTCTCAGAATTTAGGGGGAGCTGAAGCTGCAATCTGGTGAGCAAACAAAGAGCCCGGGGAACTCTGCACCTGGATATGTTTCCATGTCCTTTCCCATCACCTCTGGGCTTCCCAGGGACTGGGGATGCCCTGTCCCCTGCTGTGGGGCAGGGTCTTAAACCCACCTGCACCCCTTCCAAGTGCTGTAGCTTCATCTGTGTATTCCTCCAGAAGCTGTGCTGGGGCTCACACTGCTAAGGCGGTGCTGGTGCAATTCACAACCTCTTACTTGCTTTTAAGTAACCTTTCTCAGAGCTGCCCCATAGAGGTGGCAACACTGGCTGGTGTTCTGCAGTAGCTCCTTTCCACAGGGTCAGTCACAGGGGACCTCAGTGGCATGGCATGTGTAGCAAGTGTCCCTCTGCCCTATGCTGAGATGGCAACTCAGTGAACCTGTGCTGACTAGGAAACCCTCCTTCCATAGGTTGTAGGGTGAAACCTGCACCCTGCAGAGGCTGAGTCTCCCCTGCTGGGAGCGGAGCCAAAAGGGAGACCCCAGTCCACTTACTGGCATCTGGTGGAGGGATCTCTGCCATGGCCTGTTCCAGGTGCCGCTTAGGGCAGCCACTAGTTCCAGATGGGGCAGGAAGAGGGTTGCTAATTACCCTTGGTTCCCATTTCATGCCTTTGCTTGGGTGTGGAGCCCATGAGGGCTTCCAAAGGAAAAAGAGTCACAGTTCCCGCTCCAGGCTGCTCCATGCAGAGCCAGGGCAGCTCTCTCTGTCCCAGCCCTTGCCAGCAGCACTGGCCCCCACTCTGCTTTCTGTGAGACGGCTGTAGGTTGCAGGGTAGCTCTGGCAGTGCCAGGGCCCACTGGAACCAAGTTTCCCCTGGAAACTGCAGGGCTCACCTCAGGCTGTCACTCTGGCCTGCCCACACTGTTTCTAGGTCCCTGATGAGCCTGACCCTCCCCTGTGGGTCTGTGCTGTGTCCACTTTGGCGCACTTAACTGTGGGGACTGGCTCAGGGGCCATGAGACCTGCATTTGAGGTCAGGTCTGATAGTGATGTGTATGCTGGGACATGTAGGTGAACACCTTCCATTCTCTTCAGGCCTTTTCCTGCTGGAACTGCCTTTGCATAGATCTGTGGTGGCTCCAGGGCCCTGATAACTGCTGGAGCCCACTGTGAGACATAAACTTTGAAGAATTCAAAATTTTAGAGAAACTGAGGCCTTAATTAAAAATAAGCCTTGCTTAATCTAATTAAAAAAAAAATAAATAGATGGGCCTTGCTAAAATTAAAGGTAGTTAGAGAGGCTTTGCTAAAATTAGAGGTTAATCATTGGCTAATAACTGTCTGTCAACTTTATGCTTGTTCAGCTGGGCTTCTAAGGAGAAACAAAGAGTCTGGTAAAGAACTTCAAGAACATAAGACAATTGCAAATCAGAAACCCATTGAAGACATGAAACTAGGAGCCCAGACAAGGGTCCATTTGTCACTTTGCACTGAAAAGACAGAAAGGTCAGAATGAGGAAGAGCCATATCCCTTCCCTCCCTTTTGTGACCCCTGCTCATAGTAAGACCACCGACCCATTTCAAAGAACAAACCACACATGCTTGTTTTTTTTTAAAATTAGCATAAGAAGCAGAGAGTGGGTGGCAACTGGGTTATGAGTATGGTTTGTATTTAATATTTTTGTAAATAAAAAGCCTGTATTCACCTGTATTTGGGGCCGTGCGTATTAAGGGGAGATCCAGCACTGGCCCAGCACTGGCCCAGAGCTGCTAATAAACATACACTTTTTAACCCTAAAATGGTTAAAGAGCCTTTGTCCATCTCAGTTGGACATTGATACTAGATCGTATCCATATTTTGGTAAATCAGTTGTGTCTGTTAGACAAAGCAGCATGTTAACCCCAGTGCAAGGTGCTGCCTTCTCTGCAAATCCCCTCAATCAGAGTCCATTGCAACACAGCAGACTGCAAAGCCCTGGTGTCATGATTCCCATGCCACAGGCACTTCAGTTTGCTCAAGGGACTTTGGATAGTCACGTGCTGGCACCTCCAGAGCCCCCACCCTGGTTTGATGCTCATGATGCTGAGAGGAGTGTCAGGAGCAATCCTGCTGGAGAAGGGGGATGGCCAGGAAAGGTGATGAATCACTGTCCAGGTGCTCAGGTTGTGAGACTACTTGTGTCATGGATATCTTCCTGTGCCACATGCCAGGGATGATTCCCTTTAGCTCTGACTTGGCTTTGAAGGAGGAGTGTGGAAGCTATTTGGGGCTCAAGCCCTCCCACCCACGTGGCCCTTGCTGTGCTCCCCTTGCCATCAGATTCCCTGTCCAGGTCAGACTTCATCCAGGTGTCTTCAGCACCCTTGTCCTACTTCTGGCTTCTCACTCCATTCTCTCCACTTCTTTTTTCCTTGGAGACTCAGCCTTGCCAGCTGCCAGGTAAATCACAGCAGCCTCTGGAGACCCTCAGGGGGCTTTTCTCCACCAAGGTCCTGCTCCAGTTGCTCTCTGTGTTGCAGCTGAGCTGTTCACAGCCTGATTTTCTTTAACTCATTTCTTTTCATTAATTTCCCAGACCCATCCTACCTGTTTGAGATCTTTGCTTGACTTAGATGTGTTTAACTGAACAGGTTCACACCTGCTCAGGATACGGGAAGAAAGAACCAAGGCCAAGGGCAACAGCAGTCACAGCTGTGCCACAGACTGAAATTCACCAGCCTGTCACCTTGTTCAGGGAATGACTGTAAAACTGTGTTTCTTTGGGGAACATATTGGTCGTCTGTGGGAAATCCAGTCTACCACAAAGTAGACAGAGGAGTCCTTCAACTTTGTTCAAATAAAGGGGAAGAGTCCACTGGGCCATACCCCTGTGGGATCTCTCTCGAGGTATCACAGGACGTAGCCTCCTTTTCTCCTAAGCTACCGGCTCCTGTTCACTGGGGTTGTTCTGCCTGGTATAACTAATCCAGCCTGTCACCATTTTTATTACTTTGCAGAAGAAAATACCTACACACAGAATGCCATGGGCTGTAGAAGCAGCCAGGGGGATGCTGTGCAGCCAGACGAACCTGTTCTGGTGGATAGCTGGATTTAGGGAGCGGGAGCATAATTGCCAGGAGCAGCATGATTTGCTTTGGTTCTTCTAGCATCCTATGGGTTTGAGTCTCCACAGCTCTGAGACAGGATTCCTTCAAGGCAAGGCAGCAAGTTCTGCAGGAAAAGAGTTGATTTATATGTTGGATCTGACAGAGCCTTTTCTGATGGGTAAGTTATGATGGTGGTTATGTAGGCATCACGTGCTTTGAAAGACCCACACTCATTTGCATACAGGGCAGGCAGGGCATGCAACCACAACAGGGAGAGATTTCATGTAAAGGCGAGCAGAGGGAGAAGTTTCAAACCCCCAAGGCTCTTCTGAGCAGGAGCTTTGTCAAGTAACATAAAATAAGAAACAGAATGTGAAATAGAAGTTTTGACAACTTCCAGGGATTCCTCCTGACCTGATGGTCACATCTGGATGGGGTCTAGCTTCCCTGACTCCAATCACATGCAGGGAGATGGCTGTGTCTGAGCTGTTGTGTGTTTTCTCATGTTCTCCTACCCAGCTTGGCTCTGACTGCAGGCAGGATGGCTATTGTGAGTAAGGGACAATCACAGCCTGTGGGTGAGGATTTTACTATGCTCATGAGCACAAAGTTTAAACAAAGTTGTTCTTTGGCATTTTAGTTCGATTTATAGTGTCCTCCTGCTCTTTGCTTCTCAGTTCATGGCTCTTGGTTCCTGCAGAACCCTTCATCATTCCTTCATCTTTCATGATTTCTTTTATTTGTCCTTGAATTTGTCCTGTACTACTTCAGTGATTCCATGCGGTTTTAACTCTTATCCTTCTCATTGGTACTTCATTTAAAAAATGGGGAATTGGATTTGTGAGCAGGTGGCTTGAGTCTGCACCATGTCTGGGGTACAGCTGGGACTATCCAACTCCTTCTTCGTTGAGGGAACCCTGAGACCTTGCGATGTTTCCAAGTGTGAATGTAAGACGGGGCACTGAGACCTCCTGGCACAGGTTGCACCAGGACCCAAGGGTCCCATCAGACACACCTCATGCCAGACACAGGACCATGGCCACTGTACAGCAGAGGTTTGGCCACAGGGTCCAATTTTCAAAAAGGGCAAGAAGAAGACTTACAGGCCTGTTCAGTGTCACTTCAGTGCATGGTAAAGCTATGGAGAAGCTTATTCTGGGAGTTACTGAAAAACACCTGAAAGACAACATAGTCACTGGTCACAGTCAGCATGGCTTCATGAAATTGCTTATCAAACCTAATTTCCTTTATGGCAAGGTAGCCACCTGGTTGATCAAGGAAAGCCAGTTGATGTAATCTTTTTGGATTTCAGTAAAGCTTTTGATACTGTCTCTCATAGTATCCTTCCAGATGAACTGTCCAGCATTCAGCTGGGTAAACACATCACGTGATCGTTGAGCAACTGGCTCACAGGTTGGGTGCAAAGGGTGACAGTGACTGGGATGACATCAGGCTGGCACCAGTCAATAGTGGGGATCCACAGGACTCCATCCTTGGCCCTGTGCTCTTCAACATCTTTGTTAATGACTTGGACACAGGACTGGAAGGGAAGCCGAGCAACTTTGCAGATCACAAAGTTCACAAAACTGTGAGGAGCTGTTGACTCCCTCAGAGGGAGGGAGGCTCTGCGGGGAGACCTGGACAATTTAGAGAACTTGGCAATTACCAACCATATGAAGTTCTACAAAGGAAAATGCCAGATTCTGCACTTGGGATGGGGCAGCCCGAGATACAAAAACAGACTGGAACATGAGATGCTAGAGAGCAGTGCCACAGGAGGGGACCTGGGGGTCCTGGTTGACAGGAATGTCAGTCAGCAGTGCCCTGGAGCCAGGAGGGACATCTGTGTTCTGGG